GACTCTCTTGGAAAATTTGATTCTAAAAGTGATGAAGGCATCTTTGTTGGATACTCTACTTCTAGTAAAGCTTACCATGTGTATAATAAACATACTAAAGTTGTTGAGGAATCTATTCATGTGGTATTTGATGAGACTAACCCTATTTGCTCTAGAAAGTTTTGTAATGATGATGATGTAGATGCCATTGGAAAACAAATAAAAGATATAAATCTCAAGGAGGACAACACCAAGGAAGCTCAAGATGAGAAAAATGAGGAGGACAAACATGAAGAAGTGCAACAAACACGAAGAAGTGCAACAAACACGAAGAAGTGCAACAAACACATGAGCTAAGAGAACCAACTTTCCCAAGAGAAAGATCCTATGTCAAAGGTAATGAAATTCTTGGGGATCCATCAAAAGGGGTAATTACTAGATCTCATGCTCATAATACTTGTGCTTTCATTGCCTTTATATCTCAAATTGAACCAAATAATCTTGATGATAGTTTAAATGATCCTAATTCGGTGATGGCTATGCAAGAAGAATTAGCTCAATTTGAAAGAAATAAGGTTTGGAATCTTGTTTCTAGACCTAAAAACCATCCCATCATAGGAACTAAATGGGTTTTTAGAAATAAGTTAAATGAGAATGGAATTGTGGTTAGAAACAAGGCAAGACTAGTTGCTAAAGGCTATTGTCAAGAAGAAGGAATTGATTTTGATGAGACTTTTGCCCCGGTAGCTAGACTTGAAGCAATTAGAATGTTATTGACTTTTGCATGCTTTAAAGGTTTTACACTTTATCAAATGGATGTTAAAAGTGCTTTTCTAAATGGTTATATTCAAGAAGAGGTTTATGTTGAGCAACCTCCCGGTTTTGAAGATCCATCTTATCCAAACCATGTTTATAAACCTTCAAAGGCTTTGTATGGCTTAAAACAAGCTCCTAGAGCTTGGTATGAAAGATTAAGTAGTTTTTTGCTTGCAAATGGTTTTTCTAGAGGAAGAGTTGATACCACCTTGTTTGTGAAAAACAAAGGCCAAAATATACTAATTGTCCAAATCTATGTTGATGATATTGTGTTTGGTGCTACTAATGATTTTCTTTGTCGAGAGTTTTCCAAAGCTATGCAAGGTGAATTTGAAATGAGCATGATGGGTGAGCTCAACTTCTTCTTGGGACTTCAAATCAAACAATCCAAAGAAGGCATCTTCATTAACCAAAGCAAGTATACAAAGGAAATGCTTAAGAAGTTTGGCATGGAGACTTGTAAGCCAATAGCTACTCCTATGAGCACTTCAATTAATCTAGACAAGGATGAAGGAGGTAAGCCTATTGATCCCAAACTTTATAGAAGCATGATTGGTTCCTTGCTTTATTTAACCGCAAGTAGACCGGATATAATGTTTAGTGTTTGTTTGTGTGCTAGATTTCAAGCTTGTCCTAAGGAGTCACACTTAATTGCGGTTAAAAGAGTCTTTAGGTACCTAAAGGATACTCCCAACCTTGGTTTATGGTATCCTAAGGGTTCTTCCTTAGACTTACATTCATATTCGGATGCGGACTATGCAGGTTGTAGGATTGATAGAAAAAGTACAAGTGGAACTTGTCAATTTTTGGTA